AAATTAGTCTTACAAAAATTATGAGCTATAGGACTATATGCCAAATTAAAAAAAATATATATTCTATTAATTAAAAGTAGAATTTTTTGGATATATTATATCCAATGAAGGCCTATTGGTGGACCTAAAAAAATTCAAACTATGATGAAATGTTAAAATTTAAAGACAACATGAGATGTACAATATTTTTTTGAATTTGCTAATTTCTATTAGATATTTATCAAGATTTACTCCCAAGTTGTTGATTTTCTTATTTAATTGACATTAGAAGACAAATTGGAATGATGAAATCAAGCACAAAAGGTTTTTTAAAATTTGAAGGTAATTTTTATTATAACTCTTATTTTAATGCATCCAGATTTCATAAAGACCTTTTATTTGGATTCTAATGCTTTTGACTTTGCATTAAGAATTATACTATCACAAATGAAAAAAGATGGAAAGCTTTATCCAATTCCATACTATTCTTGAAAAGTTTCAATTATAAAAAATAATTATGAAATTCACAAAAATAAAAATTTTATAATTATGGTTTTTTTTTTTAATAATGGAATCACTTATTCGAAGGTACTATACATCCTATGATTATATATATATATATATATATATATAAACCACAAAAATTTAGAATATTTTATGTCAGCTCAGATTTTGAATTATTGCCAAATTCATTAGAATATATCAATATTTCATCTTGATTTTGTGATTATATATCAACTAAGAAAGTAGCAAGGACTATCAAATATTTTATCAAAGAACTCATATTTTTCTCCAAAAGCTAGAAAAGTAGCATTTGATGAGTAATATACTACATTTTTGAAGCTAAAATAATTTCATCTTTATATAACTTCTATAGTTACATTTGTTGATTTAAGTTTTCTTGAATAAATTTGTGCAATATCAATGAAGGACTCATTAGTTTGTAATAACAAGCAGTGCCTTAATAATGATGAGTTTAAGATCATGAAAGATCTTTTGTATTTTGTAAATCGTTTATATATTCTAGAAGGATTAATGCAACTTCATGTGTTTTAATCTTCTTGTGATTTTTTAGCTCCAAGACATTTTAGATTTAATAAAAGATTGAAGCTTATTTCTTAAGATTTTTAGTGGCCTTAAATGTGAAAGATCATAAAGGATTTTGTTTTCTTCTTTGACATTTGTTTAAGATCCAAAAATTCTTGATATAGTCTTTATGGACTTCTGCAGCTACTATCAATTCCAAAGCAATAATGGTCTTTAGTATCAAAATATTATATCACTAATTTATTGCTATCAACTACATTTGATATTATCTACATTATTATGGATTGACTTATAAAGATAGCACATTTTGTTCCTTGTAAGAAGATAATTTTCAAAGAAGAAATAGTAAGGTTCTTTCTTAATAATATATATATCAATATTATACTTTATTAATGACATCATTTTTGATTGAAGACCTCAATTTATATCAAAGTTTTAAATTTTTCTTTTTAAAATATTGAAAGTGGATATTAAACTTTCATATACCTTCCATCTTCAAATTGATGGTCAAACATAATGAGTCAATTAAGTTTTGAAGTAGTATTTGTAATGTACTATCAACTATCAATAAGATGATTCAATCTTATATTTTTCTTTAATAAGATTTTTTTATAATAATAATATTCATATTTTGATTCAAAAAATACTATTTTATGCCAATTATGGTTATCATCTAAAGCTTGATTTATTAGGTATATCATAGGATGAGAATCCAAAAATTGGAGATCTTGCAAAAAAATTGTCATAGCTCTAGACAACTTTGAAGTACTATTCACAAGCAACTCAAAATTCTTACAAAACATCTTCAGATAAATTAAAAAAATAACTCCTTACTTTTTAAGTTAGAGATAAAGTATGATCTCTTTGATAAAATATCAAGACTAATTGGCTTTATAATAAGCTAGACTATTATAGATTGAGTCCATTTTATATTAAAAAATAAATCAATTTAATGACTTATCAATTGAAATTACTTATATCTACAAAAATATATCCAGTCTTTTATGTTTATTTCTAAGAGACTTATTTAGAATCAACTATTTAAAGAATAATACAATGATCATAGCCTTGTACTGAAATAAATAATCATAAAGAATATGAAGTAGAAAAGATCTTTGATTCATGACAAAGAAGAAACAAGTTGGAGTATTTTATTCATTGGAGCAGCTATAATATTAATGAGCATTTGTAGAAATCATCAAAAAATTTAATTAATGTGCAATAAAAAGTATATAAGTTTTATCAATGCTATCTTTAAAAACTTAAACCTATATTAAGATGAATTTTCTATAAAGCTATTACTATGATGTTGTATATAACAAAGAAAGCACATATGAAACTTATACTCCTTGTGGAACTTCAAATTAAAAAAAAAAAAAGTGATATTACAGACATCCAATAAAAAGATTTTGGAAATATTCTTAAGATATTATATTAGATTCTAAAATATTTTAAAAGATTCTTAAATAGATTTTAATAGGTGATTTTAAAAGATTTTTAGAATATTTTAATAGAATCTTTTAGAATATTCTTAGAATATTCTATCAAATTCTAAAAAAATCTAAAAGGATTAAAAAAATTATCTAAGAAGCTTTCTAGGATTGCTTTGTGTTTAAGCAACATGGAAACTTCTCAAGAAGCTTCTTAATACTTAATATATATTAAAATCAAGGCTAAAAAAATCTTCAATCTCAACAATACACTTTTTTGAGTTTTAGATCATTTTTCTTAATATTGATCTTGTATTCATCTAATTTAATCAAGTTCTTATTAGATTTTTTTTTGAAACTCTTCTATTCAATTTCTTGTTTGATCTTTTATATAGTGTATTTGAAACAATAGATTTTTTATGCTTTTGTTGATCTATTGCAAATAATTATAAGTAAAAAATTGGCATTATTAAGATTTATATCAATTAACCCAAAAAAATTTCTTTTACATTATTTGTATCCCTTCTTTACCTTGACATCAACATTGTTGCTTGGAAGCTCTTTGCTTTCATCAAAAATATTCCAAACATCCAGTAAAGCTAAGAAAAGCTTTGTTTTTTTCTTATAGTAGCAATAGTTGTCACCTCTAAATTTTTCCATAATTCTCATGCTTTTACCTTCACTTAAAGCCATATTTAAAGAAAATGTATATAAAAGAGAATTAAGAAAAGAATTTATAGAATCAAGATAAATAAATTTTTACCTTAGAAACTCAAATTATCTTCATTGTAAATAAATTAATGATTTCACTCTTTAATCATTCTCAACTCTCACAAAAATATACTTCTAATCTCACAAATATCTTTTTATTACTATAAGAAGATTTCTTAAGAAATTTAGTACATAAAAGTATAATATTAGTACACCAATGATATAACTTAATAAAAAAATATAACACTAATATTCTAAAATATTATTCTAAGGTGTCTCACAACTTCTAAAAATATAAATATACTTAACAATAAGTTAGAGCAAAACTATATCAATAACTAAATATAATTTTTTTTAAAAAGATATCCAATCCTAATATTAGTAAAAACCATAAGATCTACTCCTTACAATAAGAAATTCTTCGCAGAATTTCAAATCTTATAATTACAGATGTGTGGATTCATAATCTATCGAAAAAAAGAAACTTTAAAGTCATAATAAATAACATCAGCAAACTTACATACAAAGAGAGTATGGAGTAAGATAACTCTCACTTCCATTACTCATTACTTATAAGTGGTGGTTGCTACCCTAATGAACAACTTCCATCTTTTGATGATTACATCCATCCAATATTCTATCAAGACTATCTATTGATATTTTATCTATTATGAAGATATGTCTTTAGTATATCTTATATATTCTTAAGATCCTTTGTCCATTCATCTATCTTATCTTTTGATATTTTTACATATCAAGAACCTTTAACCATGAGTAACTTATCCAAGATAATATCCTCTATAAGATAATTTATTCTACTTTTAATTTTATTTACTTACTTTAATACTTTTTTTTACTTAAAAAGATTAAAGAATCACTCAAAGATGGTATAATATTAGATTAGAATGGCTATTGCCAAAGACAAGAAGATTAGAAAGTCTTAAAATAAGACTAAAGATAAAAAAACGTATTAATAAAAGTGAAGAAGGCTTCACTCTTACCTCTATATATTCTATCTAATTAAAAAATATGTAATAATGACCTCCAACACTTACCTAATATGTCTACACTTACAACACATAGCTATCTTATAGGCCAAGTTTCTAACCTACCAATTAACTATAATCATGTATAAAATCAAATATGCATCTATGAAGCTTTTAAAAAGCTTAGCTATAAGATAATATCAAATCTACTTAAGTTTACTTTCCTACCTAATCCTTCTTTTCTAAGTAAATATGTATGTCTATGATAATCAATTGATAAAATTTTGTAAATATTCTTGTAGTAAGAAATATATATATAAGTTGTGTACAAGGAAAAATTTATAAAGAATTTTTACTAAGCAACATAACAATTTTTCATTTAGACTATTAAAAATTATTTATTCGAATTTATATAAAACTTTATCATTTCTAATAAAGAATAAAGACAAGTACATTCTAATCTTAATCAATGATTATGTCTAAAAGACATGATTATATTTTTTCCATAACAAATCATAAACAATAGAGAAGTTAATAGACTTCAAATGTTAGTAGAAAATCCAAACAAAAGGATAGAATATTTTTTGATTAATTATGGAGGTAAATATATTTCAACTGACTTCCAAAGTTATTGCCAACAAAATGGAATTACAACAAAACTTACCTCAACATACTTTCTATAAAAAAATGACATTATGAAGTAAAAAAAATAGATTTATTTTAGATGGAGTTGGAAACAATATTATTAGAATAAGAGTATCTAAATATTTATAAAGGGAAGTTGCAAAAATAATTAATTATATCTAAAAATCTAAAAATCTATAAAGTTGCATTCTTGTTTAGGATTTTTAAATCCTAAATTCTATAAAGGCACTTTGACTAATGACACCAAAAGAAGCTTTTACTAGAAACAAACAAAATCTAGAACATTGAAGAATCTTTTGTTGTATGGAACATTGTCATATACCAACAATAAACAGAAACAAATTAGATTCGAAGGCTCTTTGTACACTCTTTATAGCTTATGATGAAAATAGTCGCCCATGTTTCTAGAATATTACCATAAGAAAGATTATTACATCTCGAGATGTAAGATTTGATGTAGAAAAATTAGATCTGAGAGTTACTTTGACTACTAATTTTTTGATGGAATAAAAAACTAGTTTGTTCATATTTGTTTAGGAAATTTTGTCAACTAATCCAATGAGAAAGAACATCATTATTAATTCAAATAAAAAATCATCAACAAAGCCATTAAAAGAATTATAAAGAGGTGACAAAACGACAAGAGTTTCAGCATAAATGAGCGCTTCCTAACGCGTGGGTGCCCATGCTTTTGCGGGGGCTGCTTTTGCAGGCAACGATATGTTGTAGAGCAAGCCAGGACGACTACGGTAACTGCTCGAGTGTCGAGGAGGCCGTAACAGCAATTATGAAGGATACTTTGCAACACTGCCTGGGCGAGGAGGTAAAAATCATCAGTTCCAGATGACCTCAAGTTGCACCAGATTTCCAATTGCCATCCTCACTGCAGTTTGGTCGATGAAGCGCGATTCTCCTCAGATTCTAACACCCATCGAGTTGCATTGCAATGCTCGCAGAACGATACCATGCGCGAGAAAGTGCTCAATCAGATGGGCAAGGGCTTGGCGGCACTTGTTCGGATATCCGCAGCAGTGGCAGCTGCATCACCTGCACCTCCTCCCATATCCATACCAGCGATGTCAACCATCGCTGAGGACGACCTGGAGCAGGTCCGGAGAATGCTCAAGTTAACTTCGTTGCCGTTCCACAGCAGTTTCGATCATGAGCTCACTGAGCTCATGCTGATCCTTCAGGTATCATCCCTGGTTCGCTTGGACATCGATTCCTCGATTTCGATGGTTAAGTAGGCGATTCTTGCTCCCGTTTGGCTGCCTTCTCGACACTCCGATCTGAAGGGACCGATTCTGTGGTTGTGCAGACTGGCTATGGACACGACAGAAATCTGACTGCGAATGAATTGTCCCAAATTTGCAAGCGCCTGGGATCCGACATGGTTCAATGTCTGGGCCCATTATTCATGTGTTTCCACGAGGTGATTCACTAGTTCCCCGCGGACTCCCCGCGGACTCCAGACGATGAGGTTATATTTGATTGTCAGAAACCGTCTCTCCAGCTTGACACAAGTTCTGGAATCTAATTCGATTTTAACATGGCGGTTTGTGCAGCTTCCTCTCTGGGCCAAGTGCAACGCTTTCATGCTTCCCGCAGACATGGCAGGTAGGGTGGCTTTCAACCTACTTGCCGGCCCAAATACACGGTGATTTGTGCGAGGGAGCAGCATAGGGGACGCGTGAAGAGTGAACAAGTATCAAATACATTCAGAAGCCGACGTGTCTGCGAATCGGAACGCAAATTCACGTGCTGGAACAAATGCAAGAGCAGGATGGCGCTGGAGACGCTCCCCCGAGGCTCCACGAAAAGGATTGTGCGACAGTGTGTACGGAAAACGTAAAGTGTCTCCGCAGTGTGAAGGGTATTGCAGTCAGCGGTAAAGCCGATCCCGCAATCGAATATGTCACACGGAATTGTGCCAAACCATTCTGATGCGCGACGATCTGCATCGAATAAATTACAAGTGGAATGAGTCTCCAGCCACGGCCATTGCTCCGGAGAGTTGCCCTTCGAGTTATAGCGTAGCAGTATACTGTAAATGTGTTGTACAGTTTGAGCCAATTTTAACTCGCTACTGTGCCTCCTTTCATTATCGCAGTGTCAGATACCATTGACGAGGTTTGTGTCTCAGTATGTCCGTGATAATGGGTTGTTTTGTTACTGTTCGATTCGTCTTCACCCATCGGATGCAAGTTCTACTATCCACCGCCGCTCTGTGGCATCCTGTTCGATTATCGATTAACGCTGAAAATTCACTCTACGAGTGTATTTCAATGCTCGGATTGGTGTATCGTCGTTGTGGAGGAAGTTAATATTCCATGGGGAACTCATGCGGGCATGTTGCAGAGATTTGAGAGGACAGGGGGTAGTTCTTAATTTCATGCTGAAGATCCTCATCCGGAGTTGACGCACAGGATATTCCATATCTGTGAGCTGCATGTGGGAACGTACCTCGTGATTACTTGCAATCCGAGGGCCAAACATGAGTGACGATGCCTTGCTAACTGTGAGCTTGCGATATTGCATACATCAAGTGTTACATTCCACGTATTAATTACATTTCCTCGAGTATCTTGCGGTTGGACATGAAACTATAATTATGATTCCGATCCCGTTCTCCGATTCTCGCCATCACAAATGTTTCGGTCCCGACATTGCCATCTTCGATCACGGGTTACCGGTCACCACTTCACTCGTCAATCCTCATTCCGGTTTAACATTTATACATGTGTCAATATATGTAAATATATATATATATATATATATATATATATTCTTTTTTGTCGAATGACCAAACAACATGACCATCTCGAACATGCGGGTCAAGTTCTCTTCGGCACTCACAGGTCCATGCAGTATCCGTGCTTCTGCACGTTCCCAGGAGCCTGCAAGGATCTCGCCAAGCAAGTCCAGAGACACCTCCCTATCCACATCGCAGTCAGCACGCCGCCTCACTCGAAGTACACTGTCCCGTTTACCCATCATCGGCACAAATCGATACACCAGCACACAAACACAGCTTCTGCTCAAATTTCATGTTGGATGTTCGACTAATTGATACACATTAAAACGCTACCAGCCGTAGCTTCGCCCAGCGGCAGGGGACGCAGCGATTCCTACAATTTACAACGACAAACCCGAGTCATCGTCACCCTCCGGCAAGGTTGACGAGTATGTGAAGTACACTGCCCACACCAGCGCGGTGACGCCCACCAAAATCCAAGTCAGCTTCGGGTTGCTCACGCCCAGACCCAGGCCCGTCCCCTCGGTGCTCAACCTCTCGTCCACGAGTGCAAACACTGGGTGGGCGTAGGCCATGGTAGCTGCGGAGGTCACGGCGGCAGCGAGTTGGGGGAGACCATTGACGTCACCCTTGTTGGATTCCTTCTTCTCCAATGAGCACACGATCCTGGGCATGGCAAGCACAGGGACACCTGGGTGCGACGCATCACTCAGTCCAATCAGCGACGAAAACGATCCCCTCTCTCCCATTCCCACGCACATCCTAGATTGAGTACTGGCACTCCGCATCCCGTAACAACCCAGCCCATGCTTCCCAAAACCGAATCGAGTTTCAGATCGCAGATGAACTTACCGGCGACAGGCCTGGCAGCAGCGCGGTGGCTGGAGGAGGTCCCAAGTGACTTCTGCACAAGGCAGGTCGCGGGGGAGGCGCAAGAGGTGCAAGCGACGGCGGCCATGGCGACGACCGGACGAGGTTCGCGAAGGAAGGTCACACCTCTCGTGTCAAGCTCGCAGCTACGACGATCGCCCACGCGCTTCAAACAGCTGCTTGATGCTGATATTCCAAGCCAACAACGGAGAGAGGGGGAGACAAGTAAGAAAGATCGGTAACTTGTGCGGATAGGGCGTGATCCGAACCTGGGCCAATGATTTGCTAGGATACAAGCTCGCTCGTGAGTGGAGGCAACTCACTTTTGGAAGCGAGTGCAATTGGTGAGGAGACATCGGTTCGTAAGGTCGAAATGCTCGCTCCAATAGCGCCTCTTATCTTTTTCTGACATCGGAAACTCGCACTTGCTGGGAAAGCGAATGCCGGATTGCTACATTCTTACTGGTGAACCACAGTTTTAAACTGGATCAATTCTGGTCAAATGATTTGCAGCTGGTCTATTAGAAAACACGTCACATAAACAGATTGTGCCAATATCAAAGAGTCACACCCTGTACAAGGGGTGCAACCCTCATGGATGCACCCTTCTTGTCAGTATAAACCACAGGTATTAACCCACAATTATTATTAAGAATGTTTATTACTCATTACTGAACTTGACATTTATCTTAAACTTTTACATACAAGTTCCAATATGGTATTAGAGCATTTTTCTGAAAACTTTCAAAAGAAAGTTCCATAGAAGCATTAACAAACAAGCTTTAAAGAATAAGGCTTTGTTGAAGATCTTTTACACAAAAATTGGGATAGTAATAAACCTCACTCCTTAAGTGCATGGTTTCAAATAGTCTCACCACCAAAGAATGGGCAAAGTTTGATGGTTTGTGGTACACTGTCTTGATGGCAAACACCTAAGTGGCTCAAGAGTATTTTCTCTCAATTGGTAAGTTTGATTCTTTTTTGATTTTTTTATTCTTGTTTTTAACTAGTAAATTGAGAAGTGTAGAGGTTTTGAATAAAGATCAACAATTAAATAGAAAATTATTAAAAATTAAAATCTATTGTAGGATTTTTTAGGATTTATTAAAGATTTGGTTAGAATTTGGTTGAAATTTGATTATGAATTTGATGAAGATTCAATTATATTTTGATTAGGATTATATTAGAATTTCATAAGGCTTCAATTATAATTTATCTAGAATTTCTTTAAGATATTTTTGAGATTTCTTTAAGGTTTTTTTGTGATTTCTTTACAGTTTAATTAGGGATTTTAAAGAATTCTTTAGGATTTATTTGAAGTTAAATAGAATGTGATAAGATTTTTAAAATTTTTTAATATTACCAATAAGATGTTTTTAAATATCTTATACATTATTTTTTAGATTGTAAATCTAACTTTAAGGTAAGATCAAAGCTTTTTACAATAAAATGCCTAGTATATTTTTAACTTGATTTTCACATAATACAACAACGTCATTTTAAGAGTTGAGAGGGTTGTGAGGATTAAGCTACTACAACTTGATTTCCAATGCTAACTTCCTTGTGCATTTAACCATGGTATCTTTAAAAATCTCCCTCAATTACTCTTTATCTATTATTCAACTACCTTTCTATTTTAGGATTCTATTTTGTTCGCTATTCACTCTAAATACAATAATCTATTATCTTCTATAATCTCTCATCTCTAATGCTTGATTAATAAATATTTTGGTGCTTTGGAATTGGCCATACTTTTTCTTTATTTCCAATTCAAATAGTTTTGCATTATTTGTATTGACTAATATAAAATTCTTTATTCAAATCTCATAGTAACTCTTGTAACAAGTTGTTTAAAGAAATAGATAGTTTATGGATTGTAAATTTTTTATTGGATAATTCATTACTTGATGTCTTAAGCTCCTACCTATACCTTCTTCTCTAATCTATCATTATTTTTGTTCTTAAGTAAATTGCTTATTTCATCTTAATAGTTGTTATTAAGGGACGATTACAAATATAAAACAATAAGAAAATATTAATAGTTATTTGAAGGAAAAAATCTTTTGAGCAAATAGCATAAGTTAATAGAAGATGATTGTATTTCTCTTGCTTACATAGTTTTTTTAAGTAACTTATTTATATTATATAATCTAATTGAAAGCTAGTTCAAAATTATTTTTATAAAATTTTATTATGATATATTTTAATTACTATTAAATATTTTTATTTATACTTAATTTAAGAAATTAATTATATTTATTTTATATATTAAATATAAACTTCTCTTTTTGTTTATTATAAAATTTAAAATTAATTTATTATTCCTAAAATATAAATAAAATTTAGCATATTAGAGCCTTATATATAGATTTAAAAAACATAATAAAAATTATAGATTTTGAAAATATATAAAAAAGTATAAATTGAAAGAATTTATAAATGTTCTTCATAAAACACTTTTTGTAGATATAGCAATAAATAGTCATAGTAGTTGCATATTCTTTAATATAATTAGATCTCCTTCTAATCCAGTCATTTTAGGTTTATCATGGTTAGAATAGTATAATCCTTACATAAATTGGATTTCTCATGCTCTTCACTTCTTTAAAAGTATAACTAAGAGTGAAATTAATTTAGTAGAAAGTTATAAGTCTAACACAATAAAACCTGTGTTTGTAGGTGCAAGAGCTTTCTTGCATGCTGTAAAAGAGAGATCACCTTGTGTCATTTACGCTACACATATTCCTAATGATGCAAAGACTTCAAGTGGCATTTTAAGCCAATATCATGAGTTTTAAGATATATTTGAGAAATATTATATAAATCTATAAATCCATATAGATTTATAGTGTATTCTTATAATCATTTATATTCCAATAGTCAAAAATCGATAGATTGCTTGAATATTAGCGAATCTCCATACTACCTTCTACAGCCAGACGTCCAGTGCGTTCTCGAGTAGGAAAGCATGTAATATGACATTAGTGGTGAATCCAACGTGAAAGCTTAAGGTAGAAGGTATTGGATTTCATTTGATTTTATTTTTATTTTTACGGAGAACGAAAATAAAAATTTTGAAGGATCTTTGGGAGGAGTTTCTGATGGGGGTTCTTCTAAAGGACAAGGTATGCACATGGATCCGTCTATTGCTAGTATGTTTCAAGCCTTCTCATTATCAATGCAGCAACAACAAAGCAATGATCAAAAGGAAGCTTTGGCAACCAAAACATTACAAGCAGTGGTCAATAAAATTGATCAATTTGATGGAAGGAATATTTGAAGGTATTTAAGATGTTATGTTTGTGAAATGGAATTAAATTGGATTTTTGAGAAGAAAATGGTTGAATTATTTGGACTTGCCACGATAACGGAGATAAGAGACCATATTACATCGATTACGGATCGTTATGGGAATTCATGGGAGGTTTTTTTACATGCATTGAAAGATGAATATTTTTTGGAAGATGCTAATCACGTTATTAAGAAGCTGTTTCTGGAATGGATTGAACAGCCTAATAAGAATTTGCAAGCAACAGAGCTACTAAGAGAATTTGAGAGGCAGTACTCTCAATTATCAAAGGTAGAAAAATTGACATTGGAGCCAAACAAAGTTGATCTATTTCTTCAAGCTGCTGATGGAGAATTGCAAGGGAAATTAGAACTCCTTCTTGAAGACAAAGAAGAAGATGAAGGATTGACAACAAAGTGGAAGAACGTTGAAGATGCGATGGGGTTGCTTGTAAAAAGAGAAAGGAGGAAGGATAGGAGTAATATTTCGAAAACAGTACAAGCACCAGTACATACAACACCACCAACAATGCCTACAATTCAACCTTCGACATCCTTATCAAAAAAAGCAGATATAGGGATGGAAGAATTTTTCGAGGAACATGGATGGGCAATACGAGCAACTAATAACACACAGGGTGAATTATATGGAGCTTGTCCAGATGTCAAAATTCGGATTGGAGATGTTGAGACGGAGCAACATTTCTTTGTTCAAGATACAACGTCTTATCCGTTGATTTTAGGACAACCTTATATTACGGTAACACGGATGAAAACAAAAGTACTTGACGATGGTTCTGCTTATGCAAAGGTACGTAGCGAAGATGGGAAGAAAGCTGTACAATTTCTAATACTACTTCCTAACCATGAACGGAATCGAGATAGGTTGAGGGAGAAACCATTGCCAAAGATTGTTGAAGGATTTAAGGATTTTGGGGAGGTACCACTATAAAGCGAGATTATGGAGGTACAAAAGAGGAGGTACTCTCGCGAGATGAAGGTGCCTTTGATACGAGTTTTATTGGTATTTTGGAGAATGGAAATATTATGTATAAGAAAGTTGATAATTTTAAAAGAAAAGAAAGAAAAATATTATATAATATTGAAGGAGAATTACGTAAGTTAGATACATTGCAAGATGATGAGAGGATTTTAGGTGTTTATGAAGAAAATGGACTGGAAGATTCATTGGAATTGATTACATCTATTGGATTAGGGGATAATGATAAGATTGTTGAGATTCATTCAAGAGAGGTTTATACCATACTTGAATCTTTTCAAGTACTAGAAGTCACTGTAGAGACGAGATATAAAACGGCAGATAAGAAGGTAAAGCTTGTTGCCGGACCATCACCAGAAGACTCTAAGGAAAAAATGGGAGAAGCATCAAAAGAAGCAAGTTTAAGAGATCCAATGAAAATTAGACATCAGTTTATTAAAGAGACTTTTGAAGAATTGAAGATTGGTTCTGATGGTTCTTTATTGCCGGAGGAAATTACTTGCTTCAAAAAGATGTTGGCTAAACAAGGTAGATCGTTTGCCTTTGAATCTTATGAAATTGGATGTGTAGATCCGAATATTGTAACACCTATGATTATCTTCACTGTATTGCATGTACCTTGGAATCTAAGACCAATTCCAGTATCGAGGGCACATTTACCTAAATTGGTGGAACTATTAAAAGAAAAGATGAAGATAAAAATATTGAAACCTCATTTGAGCTGTATTCTAGTCGATGGTTTACGGTACCTAAGAAGAATGGGTCACTATGGTTTATTTAAGATATGCAACCGGTGAATGCAGTAATTGTCAAGAATGTAGGAATTGGACCTATTGTGGATGAATTTACTGAGGCGTTTGCAGGAAGGGCGATCTATTCAATGGGTGACTTGTATTTAGCTTATGATCAATTTCAACTTGCCGAAGGAAGTTGAGATATGACAACGATGAGGATACCACTTGAATTGGTTAGAATGTGCACTCTTCCTCAAGGCGCGACCAACTTAGTTGCGTATATGATGAATGGGATGA